AGTGCGTTAATTTCCATATGGTTGGCACTAAGAGTAAGTACGTTACTTACCCGTATGGTTGGTACCAAGAGTTAGTGCGTTACTTACTTATATGGTTGGTACTAAGAGTAAGTTCATAACTTACCCGTATGGTTGGTACCAAGAGTAAGTACGTTACTTACCCGTATGGTTGGTACCAAGAGTTCGTGCGTTACTTACCATATGGTTGGTACTAAGAGTAAGTGCATTACTTACCCGTATCGTTGGTACCAAGAGTAAGTCCGTTACTTACCCATATAGTTGGTACCAAGAGTAAGTGCGATACTTACCCGTAAGGTTGGTACTACGAGTACGTGCGTTACTTACCCGTATGGTTGGTACCGAGACTAGGTGCGTTATTTACCCGTATGGTTGGTAGCAAGAGTAAATGCGTTACTTACCCGTATGGTTGGTACCAAGAGTAAGTGCGTCACTTACCTATATAGTTCGTACCAATAGTAAGTGCGTGAATTACCCCTACAGTTCGTACCAAGAGTAAGTGCGTTACTTACCCGTATGGTTGGTAGTGCGTTACTTAACCCGTATGGTTGGTACCAAGAGTAAGTGTGTCACTTACCCATACAGTTTGTACCAAGAGTAAGTGCGTTACTTACCCGTATGGTTTGTACCAAGAGTAACTGTGTCACTTACCCGTATAGTTCGTAGCAAGAGTAAGTGTGTTCCTTACCCGTATGGTTGGTACGAAGAGTAAGTGCATTACTTACCCGCATAGTTGGTACCAAGAGTAAGTGCGTTACTTACCCGCAAAGTTGGTACCAAGAGTAAGTGCGTCCCTTACCTATATGGTTGGTACCAAGAGTAAGTGCGTCACTTACCTCTATGGTTGGTACCAAGAGTTAGTGCGTGACTTACCCGTATAGTTGGTATCAAAAGTAATTGCGTTGCTTACCCGTATGGTTGGTAGCAAGAGTAAGTGCGTTACTTACTCGTATGGTTGGTACCAAGAGTAAGTGCGTTACTTACGCGTATGGTTGGTATTAAGAGTAAGTGTGTCACTTACTCATACAGTTGGTACCAAGAGTAGGTGTTACTTACCCGTATGGTTGGTACCAAGAGTAAGTGCGTTACTTACCCGTTTGGTTGGTACCAAGAGTAAGTTCGTTACCTACCCAAATGGTTGGTACCAAGAATAAGTGCGTTACTTACCTGTATGGTTGGTACCAAGAATAAGTGCGTTACTTACCCGTATGGTTGGTACCAAGAGTAAGTGCGTTACTTACCCATATGGGTAGTGACAAGAGTAAGTGTGTCACTTACCCATATGGTTGGTACCAAGAGTAAGTGCGTTACTTACCCGTATGGTTGTTACCAAGAGTCAGTGCGTCCCTTACACATATGGTCGGTTCATACCAAGAGTAAGTGCGTTACTTACCCGTATGGTTGGTAGCAAGAGTAATTGCGTTACTTACCCGTATGGTTGGCAAAAGTAAGTGCGTCACTTACCCATAAAGTTCATACCAAGAGTAAGTGTGTTACTTACCCGTATGGTTGGTAGCAAGAGTAAGTGCGTCACTTACCCATATAGTTCGTACCAACAGTAAGTGCGTTACTTACCCATATAGGTAAGAGTAAGTGCGTTATTTACCCATATAGGTACCAAGAGTAAGTGCATTACTTACCTGTACAGTTCGTACCAAGAGTAAGTGCGTTACTTACCCGTATGGTTGGTAGCAAGAGTAAGGGCGTTACGTAGCCATATGGTTGCTAGCAAGAATATGTGCGTTACTAGCACCTGGAGCAGTAGACTCACTAGCACCTAGAGCAGCAGCCTCAATGCCCGGGTCGAGCGGAACACACAGGTAACAGTCACCCTCAGCACTATCAGTCATAGCATACATGGCAACAAGGATAGCATCGAAATCAAGATCAAAGATAGCAACATTCTGCCTAAGCAGATCACCCCAGCGAGGGAGCTCAGCGGCGTCAGGAAACTGGGCGCCCCAGGCATCAGTCAGGCGACCGAAGCAGCGCTGCGAAGTGTGGGGCAGTTCGCAAATTTCCCCACGGCGCCCGCCAGTGCGAAGAACGTAAGTACAGGGACCAGCACCCCCAGACCTCCCACGCCCTGCGTACCACTCACGAAGCTGCTGGGGCGACGGGGTCTCACGGAAAGGCGGCTGCTGCTGGCGCTGGCTACCGCCAAAGCCTCCACGCTGCGCAGCTCCAACGCGACCAGCACCACTGCCGCCGCCACCCCCATCGCCGCTGCCGCTGCCTCCACCGCCGTTGTCGCTGCCTCCACCGCCGCTGCCGCTGCCTCCACCACCCCTACCGCCGCCACCGACGCCCCCACTCCCGCCACCACCCCCACCTCCACCGCCACCCCCTCCACCTCCTCCACCACCTCCACCGCCGCCCCCACCGTCCCCTCCACCACCCTTGCCCCCCTTGCCCCTGCCGTTGCAGCGCCTTCCACTAGGAGCAGACGCAGCCCTGACCTCCTCAGTGCCAATGAGGTCGACAGCAGCAGCAGACGCAACAGAGGGGAGAAGGGGGACGAGGGAACACCCCTCAAAGACCAGCGCAGCGCGGTAGCGGACGTCACTAGTGCGGAGGTGAGTAATGAGGTCAGCGACTGTGGCAAAGGCGGCCAGGTCAGGAAACAAGGATGGCAGCATGAGGCGGCTGAGGGCAGAAGTGGCAGGGGAGGAGTAGCGCGCGACGACAGCGTCATACAAAGACTTAGCAATCTTGTACTGGCCAAAGTGCGCGCGCTCAGCAGACGGCAGGTGACTACGAACAGCAAGGCGAGAAACAGCCTCACGAGTAGTCCACTGCGAGCGAACCGTACTGTCAGCAGTGGCAGCAGGTGCAGGAGAGACTCCGGACGTGTGATCGAAAAGTGAGACTCCGTCCTTAGAGTCGCACTGAAGAAAGAGCTGCAAGTCGTCTACCCAAACGTCAAAGTCAACCGCACGACCCTCAGAATCAAAGGTAAGAACATTAGGGCTAGCCATGGCGGCAGTAGCAGCAGTAGCAGCAGCGGCAGCAGAAGCAGCAGTAGCAGCAGTGGCAGGGCGGGCAGGACAGTGCGGCTCAGTAGGGCAGGGCGGCGCGGCTCGGCTGGGCGCCACAAGGCAGTTGGACGTGCCGCCACACCATTGGTAGGCCGCCGATGGCATGTCTGTGAGGTAGTTGAATCGTAGATCCAGTCGGACCACTCCGGGGGCCAGCGCAGGCACGGATCCAATGAGGTAGTTGCCAGCAACGCCGCTGGTGAAGGGAGTGAGCAGCGAGGAAGGAACGAAGGGGGGAAATGAGGGGGGGAAACGAAGGGGGGAAACGGAGGGAAACGAAGGGGGGAAACGAAGGGGGGAAACGGCCAAGGAGAGACAAGAGGGCGAGGCAGGAGAGACAAAAGGGTAAGGCAGGAGAGACAAGAGGGCGAGACAGGAGAGACAAGAGGGCGAGACAGGAGAGGGAAGTGATGGACGCAACTCGCAGCAGCAAGGAGCATGACATCCCCCAGAGGCTAAAAGGTGGCATGCCATCCCTGCAGCCCACTGCGATCCCTGCAGCACACTGCCATCCCTGCAGCACACTGCCATCCCTGCAGCCCACTGCCATCCCTGCAGCACACTGCCGAATGGCGCGTGCATCATTTCCCTGAGACGCTTATAGCTGACCTTAACGCATCCCACCAGACTCACAACTCAGTCAGCTTTGGGAGGCCCACGAGGTACGAGGGGATTTCACCGTAGAGGTAGTTGTAGTGCAGGCGGCTGCGAGAGACGATGAGAGGCGGCACGTGCAAGGGGTAAGCCTCATACATGCATGGCGATTGCGGCGCCTGACAGAAGGAAAAGTTCTTGCAGGCATGAGCAGAAAGAGAGCAGAAAGAGAGGTCAAAAGAGTGGAAAGAAGAGGAGTGTGAGGGAGGTGAGGTGAGGCAGGACAGTAGCATGAGGGTGGTGGTGACAGGGCAGGCGCAGTGAGGCACTCACATGTCGGCCAGCGCTGGTAGGGAGCGAAGGTGAGTGGTGAAGGCATCGAGGCGGTAGAATAAGAGATTGCTATACATGTTGCTGTGAGGCGAGAGAAGAGGGTGGGGGACACACAAGGTCATGCTCACAACGCCACGCCAACTGCATGCATGATGGCTCGCCTAGGCACATGATGTGTGCTGTGGATGAGCATGCGCATCCACTGCATGCACTGCATGCACGCGCAATGGGCAACATGCAAGCGCAGCGAGCGAGTCCTAACGAGGGGCGCACTCTACAAAAACAGATGGCCATCGCTACAGCATGGCACGCGCAACTCACAGGCGGGTGAGAGCTGTGAGCGTGGAGACCTCCGAAGGAAGTGAGCCCTTGAGGCTTGCAACGTTCACCCCTCTGATGTCCCACGGGTTGTGGCAACGCGTGGGCAGGCCACACGCCACGGCAAATGCGTGGGGAGGACAGACGCCACAGCACATGCGTGGGGAGGACACATGCAATGGTACATGCGTGGGGAGGACACATGCAATGGCACATGCGTGGGGAGGACACACGTAATGGCACATGCGTGGGGAGGACACATGCAATGGCACATGCGTGGGGAGGACACACGCAATGGCACATGCGTGGGGAGGACACACGCAACGGCACATGAGCTGGTGTGGATGCGGCAAATGCAGAAAATGATGGTTTGGTGTGCTATGCAGTCCATACGCAACCATTGCCATGCTCTACAGAAGCCCCACATGCATTGCCCATGTCCCCCCGCACTCTCTCACGTGCGGCAAGCACACTCAGACATGAGCACAAGGCAAACTCGAACGTGCGTGCCTCGAACCTAATCCACACTTACCTCTTATTCGAACCGAACACGTTCGGTTTACCACTAACATTTCTCCAAAAAATGGTCGCAAACGGGTTTGCCACGAACCCTTGAGTGTTTGCGTCGAAATCAAACTATTTCTAGTTGGAGGGACCATTCAAGGACCTGATTCCAGTGGAAGCAAGTACAGTGATGACTCACATGCTCACGACAGTGCCAGTGGTGTCACAGAAGACGCGAGCCCAGGTTGTGTAGGTGGTGCTCTTCCCCTGGACCGTGCAGAGCGAAGAGGTGGATGCCCACGTGGTTTGAGTGACGCCCAGCGAGGACTTGAGGGCCAGCATGGCTGCAGGGGACACGCGGGGAAAGGCGCGGGGAAATGGACAGCCAGGCGAGCAGCGGGAGGAGTGGGGGAGGGGCAAGGAGCGCATGGGCAAGTGGAGGCAGGGTGCGGGGGAAGGCCAAGGAGCCCAAGGGGCACCACAGCCCCCCAAGGGGCACCACAGCCCCAAGGGGCACCCACCGCGCTCATCGGACAACGCCGCTACACCGTGACAGCCCCGTTTCTCATACGCCCTAATTGAACATGCATCAACATTGCCTGTACTGTACGTGCCCACTCCCCCCTGCGCACCTGTGGCATCTTTCATAAACGCAACCTTCACGCCCACGCATATCCAAGGGACCGGGGTCGTCGATGGCCCGTTCACGCTGCCCGCCGCCACGGCTGTAGATGCGTCCACGCTACACACTCCTCCCTCCGCGGAGCAGAAGGGAGCGACGCCGTTGGTGGTGCCGCAGAAGGCACAATCCGCCAGGGGCCTCTGAACGGTGGAGAGGGTGGCGCACTTGGAGGGCGTGACGAGGCAGTTGGACGTGGCGCCACACCATAAGTAGGCGGCTGCTGGCAAGTCCGTGAGGAAGTTGAGTTGCAGGTCCAACGTGAGCAGCCCGGCGGAGAGCGCGGGCACGGTGCCTATCAGGTAGTTGCACACAACGCTGCTGCCCAGCCCACGGGAGAGAGCAGCCAGGGGGTGGAGAAGGCCGGATGACGGGTGGGCACACACGACGAGAGAGCGAGGCAGGGGGGAGAGGGGAGCGCTGCAAAAGAAGCTCACAGCCATCCGGTATGTGCCTTCCCATCAGACTTACAGGTGAGTGAGTTTTGGGAGGCTGACGAGAAAGGAGGGGATTTCCCCGTATAAGTAGTTGTAATGCAGGCGGCTGCGACAGGAGCAGAGGCAATGTGGGCGGCAGTGAGATGACTGGCGGCATGAGGACGGAAGGGGCAAGGCCCGTGCAACCATGACCACAACCAAGGCGCCTCAAAACAACGTGCGGGCATGGGCAGAAACAGAGGCTAGCACATCAAGAGAGGAGCGGGCGTCGGAGCAAAGCTGAGGGGCGTCAAGCCACCACCAGCATCGCTCTCCTGGATTTTGTCCCACAGGCACTCTGACTCTCACATGTCGGCCACGGCTGGCAACGATTGGAGGTTGGTGGTGAAGGAATCGAGGCGGTAGCTGAAGAGGTTGTTCTACAGGTTGCTACAAGGGGCGAGCAGAGGGGGAAGGCGGTCAGGTCAAGTCAATGCGACGCTTTACTGCCGACAGCTGTACGAGCGTGGACAAGGATTGAGAAGACGCAGCAGCCAAGCCAAACCCACAGCAACAACCATCCTCGTCATACAGCGAACCACCAGAAGAGCCAGAGCGAAGGAGCAACTGACAGGTAGGTGAGAGTTGTGAGAGTGGAGATTTCCGAGGCAAGTGAGCCCTTGAGCTTGGCGTCGAGTATGACTCTGATGTGCACAACAGATTGGGGGAGAGTATTGGGAAGAATGACACGAAGAGCGGATGGGCAGATGAGCATACGTCAAGGTGCAGCAAATACCGTTGGCTTGGGCACATGCGCACACGGCTCCCAAGTTGGTTGGGCCTGCATCTCGCTACACCGTTTGCTACCCGCCTACCTTTCAAGATTGTGACTCTCACAAGGTACACCGCACTTCAGAAACCATGATTCTCACCAGCATATTGTGCCAGTCACCTGCCAAACAAATTGCCTCCCATGACCTCAGGATGATGCCACACGCACATTCGTGAAGCACAGCATATCAATGGCTGCTTGGGCCATGCTTCTGCAAGGCCCCACTCCCGGGTCATAGTAACTTGGGTGCGGGCAAAGGTGAGATGAGTGGCACTCACATGCTGACGACCGCACCAGTCATGTCACAGAGCACGCCAGTCCACACGGTGGCCATAGTGGTCTGCCCCACGACTTTGCACGGCACAGTGCCATCCCACGTGGTCAGAGTGATGCCCAGCGACGCCTTGAGGGCCAGCATGGCTGCTCACAGCCACGCGGGGAAACACGGAAAAGGGTACGCAAGGGTGGAGGCGGGGCGGGCCATGCAGCACGTGAGGTAGTGGAGGGGGAGCATGAGCCGTGTGGAGCAAGGGCGGTGTGTGTACTGCCCCCTCACTGTGCCCTGCCCTGTGCCCCGTGCCCCCTCGCCCCTGCCCTGTCCGCCCTTGTGCCCAAGCCAATGCCCCAAAGGCTCGCTGCTCAATGCTTACCTGCGCTATCCTTGATAGGCGGAGGCGGGAACAGGCAGTACATCCGGAGGGAGGCCGGGCTCAACGTATTGGCGGCGCCGGAAGCAACGTTGGCAGTCGCTGACATAGCGCACACCCCTCCCGTGGCAGGGCAGATGGGACCTATGCCGTTGGTGGTGCCGCAGATGGCACATTCCGCCACAGGCCGCTGAGCCGTGCTGCTGGTGGTGCACTTGGTGGGCGCCACGAGGCAGTTGGACGTGCCGCCACACCATTGGTAGGCCGCCGATGGCATGTCTGTGAGGTAGTTGTTTCGCAGATCCAGTCTGACCACTCCGGGGGCCAGCGCAGGCACGGATCCCATGAGGAAGTTTCCAGCAGCACCGCTGGCGAGGGGAGGACGCAGCGAGCGAGGAAACGAAAAGGAGAACGAAGGGGGGAAATGAAGGGGTATAAGGAGTGTGCAGAGAGACAAGAGGGCGAGGCAGGAGAGACAAGAGGGCGAGGCAGGAGCAACATCCCCAAGAGACAAAAAAATGGCATGCCATCCCTGCAGCACACTGCCGAATGGTGCATCATTCCCCTGAGAGTCTTACAGCTGACCTTAACGCATCCCAGCAGACTCACAACTCGGTCAGCTTTGGGAGGCCCACGAGGTACGAGGGGATTTCACCGTAGAGGTAGTTGTAATGCAGGCGGCTGCGAGAGACGATGAGAGGCGGCACGTGCAAGGGGTAAGCCTCATACATGCATGGCGATTGTGGCGCCTGACAGAAGGAAAAGTTCTTGCAGGCATGAGCAGAAAGAGAGCAGAAAGAGAGGTCAAAAGAGTGGAAAGAAGAGGAGTGTGAGGGAGGTGAGGTGAGGCAGGACAGTAGCATGAGGGTGGTGGTGACAGGGCAGGCGCAGTGAGGCACTCACATGTCGGCCAGCGCTGGTAGGGAGCGAAGGTGAGTGGTGAAGGCATCGAGGCGGTAGAATAAGAGATTGCTATACATGTTGCTGTGAGGCGAGAGAAGAGGGTGGGGGACACACAAGGTCATGCTCACAACGCCACGCCAACTGCATGCATGATGGCTCGCCTAGGCACATGATGTGTGCTGTGGATGAGCATGCGCATCCACTGCATGCACTGCATGCACGCGCAATGGGCAACATGCAAGCGCAGCGAGCGAGTCCTAACGAGGGGCGCACTCTACAAAAACAGATGGCCATCGCTACAGCATGGCACGCGCAACTCACAGGCGGGTGAGAGCTGTGAGCGTGGAGACCTCCGAAGGAAGTGAGCCCTTGAGGCTTGCAACGTTCACCCCTCTGATGTCCCACGGGTTGTGGCAACGCGTGGGCAGGCCACACGCCACGGCAAATGCGTGGGGAGGACAGACGCCACAGCACATGCGTGGGGAGGACACATGCAATGGTACATGCGTGGGGAGGACACATGCAATGGCACATGCGTGGGGAGGACACACGTAATGGCACATGCGTGGGGAGGACACATGCAATGGCACATGCGTGGGGAGGACACACGCAATGGCACATGCGTGGGGAGGACACACGCAACGGCACATGAGCTGGTGTGGATGCGGCAAATGCAGAAAATGATGGTTTGGTGTGCTATGCAGTCCATACGCAACCATTGCCATGCTCTACAGAAGCCCCACATGCATTGCCCATGTCCCCCCGCACTCTCTCACGTGCGGCAAGCACACTCAGACATGAGCACAAGGCAAACTCGAACGTGCGTGCCTCGAACCTAATCCACACTTACCTCTTATTCGAACCGAACACGTTCGGTTTACCACTAACATTTCTCCAAAAAATGGTCGCAAACGGGTTTGCCACGAACCCTTGAGTGTTTGCGTCGAAATCAAACTATTTCTAGTTGGAGGGACCATTCAAGGACCTGATTCCAGTGGAAGCAAGTACAGTGATGACTCACATGCTCACGACAGTGCCAGTGGTGTCACAGAAGACGCGAGCCCAGGTTGTGTAGGTGGTGCTCTTCCCCTGGACCGTGCAGAGCGAAGAGGTGGATGCCCACGTGGTTTGAGTGACGCCCAGCGAGGACTTGAGGGCCAGCATGGCTGCAGGGGACACGCGGGGAAAGGCGCGGGGAAATGGACAGCCAGGCGAGCAGCGGGAGGAGTGGGGGAGGGGCAAGGAGCGCATGGGCAAGTGGAGGCAGGGTGCGGGGGAAGGCCAAGGAGCCCAAGGGGCACCACAGGGGCACCACAGCCCCCCAAGGGGCACCACAGCCCCAAGGGGCACCCACCGCGCTCATCGGACAACGCCGCTACACCGTGACAGCCCCGTTTCTCATACGCCCTAATTGAACATGCATCAACATTGCCTGTACTGTACGTGCCCACTCCCCCCTGCGCACCTGTGGCATCTTTCATAAACGCAACCTTCACGCCCACGGATATCCAAGGGACCGGGGTCGTCGATGGCCCGTTCACGCTGCCCGCCGCCACGGCTGTAGATGCGTCCACGCTACACACTCCTCCCTCCGCGGAGCAGAAGGGAGCGACGCCGTTGGTGGTGCCGCAGAAGGCACAATCCGCCAGGGGCCTCTGAACGGTGGAGAGGGTGGCGCACTTGGAGGGCGTGACGAGGCAGTTGGACGTGGCGCCACACCATAAGTAGGCGGCTGCTGGCAAGTCCGTGAGGAAGTTGAGTTGCAGGTCCAACGTGAGCAGCCCGGCGGAGAGCGCGGGCACGGTGCCTATCAGGTAGTTGCACACAACGCTGCTGCCCAGCCCACGGGAGAGAGCAGCCAGGGGGGGGAGAAGGCCGGATGACGGGTGGGCACACACGACGAGAGAGCGAGGCAGGGGGGAGAGGGGAGCGCTGCAAAAGAAGCTCACAGCCATCCGGTATGTGCCTTCCCATCAGACTTACAGGTGAGTGAGTTTTGGGAGGCTGACGAGAAAGGAGGGGATTTCCCCGTATAAGTAGTTGTAGTGCAGGCGGCTGCGACAGGAGCAGAGGCAATGTGGGCGGCAGTGAGATGACTGGCGGCATGAGGACGGAAGGGGCAAGGCCCGTGCAACCATGACCACAACCAAGGCGCCTCAAAACAACGTGCGGGCATGGGCAGAAACAGAGGCTAGCACATCAAGAGAGGAGCGGGCGTCGGAGCAAAGCTGAGGGGCGTCAAGCCACCACCAGCATCGCTCTCCTGGATTTTGTCCCACAGGCACTCTGACTCTCACATGTCGGCCACGGCTGGCAACGATTGGAGGTTGGTGGTGAAGGAATCGAGGCGGTAGCTGAAGAGGTTGTTCTACAGGTTGCTACAAGGGGCGAGCAGAGGGGGAAGGCGGTCAGGTCAAGTCAATGCGACGCTTTACTGCCGACAGCTGTACGAGCGTGGACAAGGATTGAGAAGACGCAGCAGCCAAGCCAAACCCACAGCAACAACCATCCTCGTCATACAGCGAACCACCAGAAGAGCCAGAGCGAAGGAGCAACTGACAGGTAGGTGAGAGCTGTGAGAGTGGAGATTTCCGAGGCAAGTGAGCCCTTGAGCTTGGCGTCGAGTATGACTCTGATGTGCACAACAGATTGGGGGAGAGTATTGGGAATAATGACACGAAGAGCGGATGGGCAGATGAGCATACGTCAAGGTGCAGCAAATACCGTTGGCTTGGGCACATGCGCACACGGCTCCCAAGTTGGTTGGGCCTGCATCTCGCTACACCGTTTGCTACCCGCCTACCTTTCAAGATTGTGACTCTCACAAGGTACACCGCACTTCAGAAACCATGATTCTCACCAGCATATTGTGCCAGTCACCTGCCAAACAAATTGCCTCCCATGACCTCAGGATGATGCCACACGCACATTCGTGAAGCACAGCATATCAATGGCTGCTTGGGCCATGCTTCTGCAAGGCCCCACTCCCGGGTCATAGTAACTTGGGTGCGGGCAAAGGTGAGATGAGTGGCACTCACATGCTGACGACCGCGCCAGTCATGTCACAGAGCACGCCAGTCCACACGGTGGCCATAGTGGTCTGCCCCGCGACTTTGCACGGCACAGTGCCATCCCACGTGGTCAGAGTGATGCCCAGCGACGCCTTGAGGGCCAGCATGGCTGCTCACGGCCACGCGGGGAAACACGGAAAAGGGTACGCAAGGGTGGAGGCGGGGCGGGCCATGCAGCACGTAAGGTAGTGGAGGGGGAGCATGAGCCATGTGGAGCAAGGGCGGTGTGTGTACTGCCCCCTCACTGTGCCCTGCCCTGTGCCCCGTGCCCCCTCGCCCCTGCCCTGTCCGCCCTTGTGCCCAAGCCAATGCCCCAAAGGCTCGCTGCTCAATGCTTACCTGCGCTATCCTTGATAGGCGGAGGCGGGAACAGGCAGTACATCCGGAGGGAGGCCGGGCTCAACGTATTGGCGGCGCCGGAAGCAACGTTGGCAGTCGCTGACATAGCGCACACCCCTCCCGTGGCAGGGCAGATGGGGCCTATGCCGTTGGTGGTGCCGCAGATGGCACATTCCGCCACAGGCCGCTGAGCCGTGCTGCTGGTGGTGCACTTGGTGGGCGCCACGAGGCAGTTGGACGTGCCGCCACACCATTGGTAGGCCGCCGATGGCATGTCTGTGAGGTAGTTGTTTCGCAGATCCAGTCTGACCACTCCGGGGGCCAGCGCAGGCACGGATCCCATGAGGAAGTTTCCAGCAGCACCGCTGGCGAGGGGAGGACGCAGCGAGCGAGGAAACGAAAAGGAGAACGAAGGGGGGAAATGAAGGGGTATAAGGAGTGTGCAGAGAGACAAGAGGGCGAGGCAGGAGAGACAAGAGGGCGAGGCAGGAGCAACATCCCCAAGAGACAAAAAAATGGCATGCCATCCCTGCAGCACACTGCCGAATGGTGCATCATTCCCCTGAGAGTCTTACAGCTGACCTTAACGCATCCCAGCAGACTCACAACTCGGTCAGCTTTGGGAGGCCCACGAGGTACGAGGGGATTTCACCGTAGAGGTAGTTGTAATGCAGGCGGCTGCGAGAGACGATGAGAGGCGGCACGTGCAAGGGGTAAGCCTCATACATGCATGGCGATTGTGGCGCCTGACAGAAGGAAAAGTTCTTGCAGGCATGAGCAGAAAGAGAGCAGAAAGAGAGGTCAAAAGAGTGGAAAGAAGAGGAGTGTGAGGGAGGTGAGGTGAGGCAGGACAGTAGCATGAGGGTGGTGGTGACAGGGCAGGCGCAGTGAGGCACTCACATGTCGGCCAGCGCTGGTAGGGAGCGAAGGTGAGTGGTGAAGGCATCGAGGCGGTAGAATAAGAGATTGCTATACATGTTGCTGTGAGGCGAGAGAAGAGGGTGGGGGACACACAAGGTCATGCTCACAACGCCACGCCAACTGCATGCATGATGGCTCGCCTAGGCACATGATGTGTGCTGTGGATGAGCATGCGCATCCACTGCATGCACTGCATGCACGCGCAATGGGCAACATGCAAGCGCAGCGAGCGAGTCCTAACGAGGGGCGCACTCTACAAAAACAGATGGCCATCGCTACAGCATGGCACGCGCAACTCACAGGCGGGTGAGAGCTGTGAGCGTGGAGACCTCCGAAGGAAGTGAGCCCTTGAGGCTTGCAACGTTCACCCCTCTGATGTCCCACGGGTTGTGGCAACGCGTGGGCAGGCCACACGCCACGGCAAATGCGTGGGGAGGACAGACGCCACAGCACATGCGTGGGGAGGACACATGCAATGGTACATGCGTGGGGAGGACACATGCAATGGCACATGCGTGGGGAGGACACACGTAATGGCACATGCGTGGGGAGGACACATGCAATGGCACATGCGTGGGGAGGACACACGCAATGGCACATGCGTGGGGAGGACACACGCAACGGCACATGAGCTGGTGTGGATGCGGCAAATGCAGAAAATGATGGTTTGGTGTGCTATGCAGTCCATACGCAACCATTGCCATGCTCTACAGAAGCCCCACATGCATTGCCCATGTCCCCCCGCACTCTCTCACGTGCGGCAAGCACACTCAGACATGAGCACAAGGCAAACTCGAACGTGCGTGCCTCGAACCTAATCCACACTTACCTCTTATTCGAACCGAACACGTTCGGTTTACCACTAACATTTCTCCAAAAAATGGTCGCAAACGGGTTTGCCACGAAACCTTGAGTGTTTGCGTCGAAATCAAACTATTTCTAGTTGGAGGGACCATTCAAGGACCTGATTCCAGTGGAAGCAAGTACAGTGACGACTCACATGCTCACGACAGTGCCAGTGGTGTCACAGAAGACGCGAGCCCAGGTTGTGTAGGTGGTGCTCTTCCCCTGGACCGTGCAGAGCGAAGAGGTGGATGCCCACGTGGTTTGAGTGACGCCCAGCGAGGACTTGAGGGCCAGCATGGCTGCAGGGGACACGCGGGGAAAGGCGCGGGGAAATGGACAGCCAGGCGAGCAGCGGGAGGAGTGGGGGAGGGGCAAGGAGCGCATGGGCAAGTGGAGGCAGGGTGCGGGGGAAGGCCAAGGAGCCCAAGGGGCACCACAGGGGCACCACAGCCCCCCAAGGGGCACCACAGCCCCAAGGGGCACCCACCGCGCTCATCGGACAACGCCGCTACACCGTGACAGCCCCGTTTCTCATACGCCCTAATTGAACATGCATCAACATTGCCTGTACTGTACGTGCCAACTCCCCCCTACGCACCTGTGGCATCTTTCATAAACGCAACCTTCACGCCCACGCATATCCAAGGGACCGGGGTCGTCGATGGCCCGTTCACGCTGCCCGCCGCCACGGCTGTAGATGCGTCCACGCTACACACTCCTCCCTCCGCGGAGCAGAAGGGAGCGACGCCGTTGGTGGTGCCGCAGAAGGCACAATCCGCCAGGGGCCTCTGAACGGTGGAGAGGGTGGCGCACTTGGAGGGCGTGACGAGGCAGTTGGACGTGGCGCCACACCATAAGTAGGCGGCTGCTGGCAAGTCCGTGAGGAAGTTGAGTTGCAGGTCCAACGTGAGCAGCCCGGCGGAGAGCGCGGGCACGGTGCCTATCAGGTAGTTGCACACAACGCTGCTGCCCAGCCCACGGGAGAGAGCAGCCAGGGGGGGGAGAAGGCCGGATGACGGGTGGGCACACACGACGAGAGAGCGAGGCAGGGGGGAGAGGGGAGCGCTGCAAAAGAAGCTCACAGCCATCCGGTATGTGCCTTCCCATCAGACTTACAGGTGAGTGAGTTTTGGGAGGCTGACGAGAAAGGAGGGGATTTCCCCGTATAAGTAGTTGTAGTGCAGGCGGCTGCGACAGGAGCAGAGGCAATGTGGGCGGCAGTGAGATGACTGGCGGCATGAGGACGGAAGGGGCAAGGCCCGTGCAACCATGACCACAACCAAGGCGCCTCAAAACAACGTGCGGGCATGGGCAGAAACAGAGGCTAGCACATCAAGAGAGGAGCGGGCGTCGGAGCAAAGCTGAGGGGCGTCAAGCCACCACCAGCATCGCTCTCCTGGATTTTGTCCCACAGGCACTCTGACTCTCACATGTCGGCCACGGCTGGAAACGATTGGAGGTTGGTGGTGAAGGAATCGAGGCGGTAGCTGAAGAGGTTGTTCTACAGGTTGCTACAAGGGGCGAGCAGAGGGGGAAGGCGGTCAGGTCAAGTCAATGCGACGCTTTACTGCCGACAGCTGTACGAGCGTGGACAAGGATTGAGAAGACGCAGCAGCCAAGCCAAACCCACAGCAACAACCATCCTCGTCATACAGCGAACCACCAGAAGAGCCAGAGCGAAGGAGCAACTGACAGGTAGGTGAGAGCTGTGAGAGTGGAGATTTCCGAGGCAAGTGAGCCCTTGAGCTTGGCGTCGAGTATGACTCTGATGTGCACAACAGATTGGGGGAGAGTATTGGGAAGAATGACACGAAGAGCGGATGGGCAGATGAGCATACGTCAAGGTGCAGCAAATACCGTTGGCTTGGGCACATGCGCACACGGCTCCCAAGTTGGTTGGGCCTGCATCTCGCTACACCGTTTGCTACCCGCCTACCTTTCAAGATTGTGACTCTCACAAGGTACACCGCACTTCAGAAACCATGATTCTCACCAGCATATTGTGCCAGTCACCTGCCAAACAAATTGCCTCCCATGACCTCAGGATGATGCCACACGCACATTCGTGAAGCACAGCATATCAATGGCTGCTTGGGCCATGCTTCTGCAAGGCCCCACTCCCGGGTCATAGTAACTTGGGTGCGGGCAAAGGTGAGATGAGTGGCACTCACATGCTGACGACCGCACCAGTCATGTCACAGAGCACGCCAGTCCACACGGTGGCCATAGTGGTCTGCCCCACGACTTTGCACGGCACAGTGCCATCCCACGTGGTCAGAGTGATGCCCAGCGACGCCTTGAGGGCCAGCATGGCTGCTCACAGCCACGCGGGGAAACACGGAAAAGGGTACGCAAGGGTGGAGGCGGGGCGGGCCATGCAGCACGTGAGGTAGTGGAGGGGGAGCATGAGCCGTGTGGAGCAAGGGCGGTGTGTGTACTGCCCCCTCACTGTGCCCTGCCCTGTGCCCCGTGCCCCCTCGCCCCTGCCCTGTCCGCCCTTGTGCCCAAGCCAATGCCCCAAAGGCTCGCTGCTCAATGCTTACCTGCGCTATCCTTGATAGGCGGAGGCGGGAACAGGCAGTACATCCGGAGGGAGGCCGGGCTCAACGTATTGGCGGCGCCGGAAGCAACGTTGGCAGTCGCTGACATAGCGCACACCCCTCCCGTGGCAGGGCAGATGGGGCCTATGCCGTTGGTGGTGCCGCAGATGGCACATTCCGCCACAGGCCGCTGAGCCGTGCTGCTGGTGGTGCACTTGGTGGGCGCCACGAGGCAGTTGGACGTGCCGCCACACCATTGGTAGGCCGCCGATGGCATGTCTGTGAGGTAGTTGTTTCGCAGATCCAGTCTGACCACTCCGGGGGCCAGCGCAGGCACGGATCCTATGAGGAAGTTTCCAGCAGCACCGCTGGCGAGGGGAGGACGCAGCGAGCGAGGAAACGAAAAGGAGAACGAAGGGGGGAAATGAAGGGGTATAAGGAGTGTGCAGAGAGACAAGAGGGCGAGGCAGGAGAGACAAGAGGGCGAGGCAGGAGAGACAAGAGGGCGAGGCAGGAGCAACATCCCCAAGAGACAAAAAAGTGGCATGCCATCCCTGCAGCACACTGCCATCCCTGCAGCACACTGCCATCCCTGCAGCACACTGCCATCCCTGCAGCACACTGCCGAATGGTGCATCATTTCCCTGAGAGTCTTACAGCTGACCTTAACGCATCCCAGCAGACTCACAACTCGGTCAGCTTTGGGAGGCCCACGAGGTACGAGGGGATTTCACCGTAGAGGTAGTTGTAATGCAGGCGGCTGCGAGAGACGATGAGAGGCGGCACGTGCAAGGGGTAAGCCTCATACATGCATGGCGATTGCGGCGCCTGATAGAAGGAAAAGTTCTTGCAGGCATGAGCAGAAAGAGAGCAGAAAGAGAGGTCAAAGGAGTGGAAAGAAGAGGAGTGTGAGGGAGGTGAGGTGAGGCAGGACAGTAGCATGAGGGTGGTGGTGACAGGGCAGGCGCAGTGAGGCACTCACATGTCGGCCAGCTCTGGCAGGGAGCGAAGGTGAGTGGTGAAGGCATCGAGGCGGTAGAAGAAGAGATTGCTAAACATGTTGCTGTGAGGCGAGAGAAGAGGGTGGGGGACACACAAGGTCATGGTCACAACGCCACGCCAAGTGCATGCATGATGGCTCGCCTAGGCACATGATGTGTGCTGTGGATGAGCATGCGCATCCACTGCATGCACTGCATGCACGCGCAATGGGCAACATGCAAGCGCAGAGAGCGAGTCCTAACGAGGGGCGCACTCTACAAAAACAGATGGCCATCGCCACAGCATGGCACGAGCAACTCACAGGCGGGTGAGAGCTGTGAGCGTGGAGACCTCCGAAGGAAGTGAGACCTTGAGGCTTGCAACGTTCACCTTTCTGATGTCCCACTGGTTGTGGCAACGCGTGGGCAGGCCACACGCCACGGCACATGCGTGGGGAGGACACACGCCACGGCACATGCGTGGGGAGGAGGAAACACGCACAGTGGACGGGCAGATGAGTAGTGTGCATATGGCAAGGTGCAAATACCATGGGGCACATAAGGAACGACTGTAACCTTCAGAATACGCAAACACGCAATGAGCGCGGCAACGGAACAGTGAGCAATTGCATGAGGAAGCTTGCAAGGACTGGCGCAACACCGTGGTCCTTCCAACGCGGCACTCACATGGTTGCGACACCGCCGTCGGCATTGTAGAGCACGCCCTCCCAGTGTGGAATGATTGAGCTTGAGGCGTCAATGTCACAGTGCGTGGCGGAGTCCCACGTAGCAAAGGTGAGCCCCAAGGCCGACTTAATGCTCAGCATGGCCGTCACTGATGCGCGCGGAGTGGGAGGGGGGACGACTGAGGAACGATGGGAAAAGGGGGGAAAAGGAACCGGGAGGGAGGGGGCGGCCGGGGGGGGGGGGGGAGGAGGGGGGGGCGGAGGTAACGCTGCTACGACAAGTGCATGTATGGATGAACGAACGATTTTGAGGAAAAGGAGAAAGTAGAACTCTCCAAGCTCTTTAACCATCAGCGTGCGTCCTTGTCGGAATCCATCGAGCTCGCAGGGAGAAAAGGAAACAACAACAGCAACAACAAAAACACATACACACACAAAGAAGCCCGCGAGGTTCGTATGGTGTGGAAGGATCAAACTTGGTGTCGGAAGAATGAGGGCGATCAAACTTCAAATTTGTCAGGGTAGGGACTGAACGACGTGAACTCGTGTGGGGTAACGCGGTTGTTAGAAGAATGTGGAGGATGAAAACCCTAAACGTCGAAGTGAACTGAACGACATTCCAGTGGGACATGCCCTCGCACATTTGTATGATCATACAACCGTGAGGGACATGAAGATGCGCCAGCGGCTGGATTTCTACCTTGATTGGTCTGAATGAGAACGCTTGCGACGTCGTGGAGGTGGCTTGTCAGCACAGCGAGCACGGCTATTGCAACGAGGCCGCACGCATGCCCGGGGGTCGCCATGGCGACCACGCGTTCCTGTCAGGTAATGCTAGACTACCAATGGACAAACAGCCACCACTAGTAGGAATGCTGGATGTGCTAATACTGGTACCTGCTAGATGGCACAACCACTGGAGGAGTATAGAGGAGGACAACAGCACACAGCAAGTAATATATGCAAACCTTAGGATACGTTCTTGGCTGGTGTCTAGCTTCGGGCCAAGCTGCTTGATACGAGGTAGAATCGACGGACATGAGGCAAAATAAAAATTTCGTATCAGACCTTGCTGGAGGAGCCTTACACCAAGGGAACTTGGCCCGAAGTTAGGCAGCAGCCAAGAAAGTACCCTTAAACGGGTTGTCATGATTGCCGGCGTGATTACGGAAACTCTGTCAATCACGTCAATTACTGTAAATGATGGAAAGTGAATGTCGCCACGCCGCAAGCAATCTGGGTCTGGTGCAACCCTACTTGCAAGAATTTGGATGATTCCGCACCAGCTCTTCTAGCAATTGGTGTGTGTTTGACAGAACATGCTCAAAAGTGGATAGCAGAGCCTCACACCGACAATAAACCAGCTTCACATTGGACGAGAGTGGGATTAAGGCACTGCGGTGAGTGCAACTTCATGCATGCACCACAACCTCGCGAAAAGGGTCGGCTCTTTGACCCTTCTATTTCATCAGTTTCTTCGCAACCAGCCGTCCTACGATATTCTCCAGATCAACCTTTCACCCCGTTTTCTCATCATCCTCTCACAGCCATCACGCCATGGATGATGACAATGACGACCCAGCAAGAGCAAGCCAACCTGACATCCCAACCCATCGTCACTCCCAAAACCGTTGACTGGCCTAGATTTCCTCAGCGGTCAGCGGACTCTTACTCCGCATGTGTTACCAGCTTCTGAGGCACCCATGGTATTGCCACATGCTCCTAGTGTCAACGAGAGTTGTGTGTTGGCCCCGTCCTCGCTTGGGCGGAGCCGACTTCGTGGTCCGGTGCGAGGGGAGCAGCCGAATTGCAGCAGTGGGCGAGCTGGTTGACGAGGAGGTCGACCTGCACGAGGGCCACTGCACGAGCGCCGACTTCAGGGAGGTCGACCTGGGAAGTCGACCTACGGAGGGCGTCGACTTGGTGACGCCGACTTCGGGTAGGCGACTTGGGTGGTCGGCTGACAACTGCACTGGTCGACGTGGAGCTGGTCGACCAGGAGTGACGTCGACCTGGAGCTGGTCGACCAGGGGTGTGGTCGACCTGGTGAGGTTGACTTGGGGTGGTCGGCGACTTGGGAGGTCGACGGACACATACAGGAGCAGCCGGTCGACGTGGTTGCCCGGTCGACCAGGTTACCTGGGTGACGAGGTTCTCCGGGGGAGTGCGACGGTCGCCTTGGCGAAGTTGTGAGTCCGACCTCGGTGGTGGTATCCCGAGGTTGACGTGGCTGATCAGATGCAGTCGTCAGCGCCAGGTTGACTAGGTGTGTGCGATGTGCAGGTGACGAGGCTCAGCACGCCAATCATATGCGAGCACCTGCGAAGCTGGTGCAATGCTGTACTGCGGGAGCAACGCTGGCACGCCGTCGACCTGCTGCGTTGGCACGCCGTCGACCTTGCACTACTGGAGCGCGGTCGACCAAGTCGTGCTGGAACGCGGTCGACCATGCTGCGCTGGCAGTCGACCGACCTGAACGCTAGCTCTGATGTAGTCTTGCCATGCCAACTTCTTTGTACCATTGTTGTGAACTTTCTCTAGTGAAACTCTTGCCAACTTGCCCCGTGAAACTAGCAAGCAGTGTGTGCACTAGGAAAACGACTAAGGACCAACGAACGCAGAGATCACACGAGCACCCGTGCCTAGCCCGTAGTCTAGCTCCCGTTGTAGTAGTTATCTCCGCACCTAGAGCTAAAACTGAGTCGTGGACCAAGGTCATCCTCCACCGGGCTCTTAGTGACCCACACCTAGAAGATACGCCCAGTAAGAACCCTGGGCATGTCACAACATCCCCTATCAGTGCAGTACATCCAGCAGGCGGCAACCAATTTCCAAAGTTGGGTGCTACACGTAGAGCACCCTCCGCTTCGCGCGAACTCGTGTGCCTTACGTCCGTATCACGCAGGCTACTGCGCAAACACCCGCAACACCAGCTTCACACCTAGCTGCTCCTACTGGCGGATGAACCCGGCCATCAGACCAAGGCCCGTCAATGCTGACACTAGGATTCCGACATTCTCCTTTTCTAGCTGCAGGCAAAATGCAACGACATTTGGAATCGACGCTTCCCATGGTTGGTAATATCGCAGCGTTAGGACGGCCAGCAATGTATGAAATGTTGTATCTGCATGACATACGGGCCGACTCACCGGTAGTACGGCAAGATGGGAGAGGGAGGCATTGACATCCACAAACAGATCATTTGCCAGAGACGCAAGTGTTGACGGGAATTGGGTGTTGGCCCCGCCCTTGCTTGGGCGACGCCGTCTTCGTGGTCGGGTGCGCGGGAGGTGCGGCTGACTGTCCGCAGAGTTCGACGCCTGTGTCAACGGGAGATGCGTTGTTGGCCCCGTCCTCGCTTGGGCGGAGCCGACTTCGTGGTCGGGTGGGCAACCCACGTCACGGCGGGTAGGATCGCACCGACCTACCGCTACTTCAAGTTCACGCCGGACAGAATCGTCGTCACCCCCCTGCTGGTCGGCCGCCACGACATCCTCACGTGGAAGGAGGCCATCGAGCCTCGGCTTGAGATGGCCGGCTTGATGTGCTTTGCCGCGGGCAGCATGGAGACACCGCCTGAAAGCAACGCCCCGCTGCGCGCGGAGTTTCGCGGCGTGCATCTGCTCACCTTCACGGTCATCTCGCGGTGCTGCTCGCCGGTCGTGCAGATTGCCTTGAAGTCGTGCAGGAGCTACTTGGACGCCGGCCACCAGGCGTGGTAGTTCATCACGTCGTCGTACCAGGTCACCAACGACCTGTACATCGGCCAGCTGGAGGAGCAGATGACTCACCTGCGGATGAGCGAGCAGGAGACGGCGACCGACTACTGCAACCGGGCTTGGAGACTTCTCGCCACCATGCGGATGGCCGGCGTGCAGTACACGACGGCGTCCTACACCACGCATGTCCTGAAGGGGCTCCCGGGCAGCTACAACCTGATGAAGCGACTGTCGTTGGTGCCGGGCACGCGGGAG